TTCTTCCTTTTTTCCACCGCGTGCAATACCACAACTCATGCGCGGCTTAAAACGGGCTGGGCACGATAATGTGTGTACGCGGATACTCGAATCGTCCCTTCAGACTCTAATTAACTCGGATATTGACCAGAGCAGCGTATATCAGCGCTCCGCGTATGCGCATATGCCTTTTTGGACCCCACAATTGCTGTCCTCTCCCTCCCTCTCTCTCTCTCTCTCTCTCTCTCTCTCTCCATCTCTCTCTCTCTCTTTATCCTCCATCTATCTCTCTCTCTCCCTCCCTCCCTGACGGTCCCTCCGTCTCTACCTACACACGCACCGCTCTCACGGTATACAAACGAGAGGAAAACGGGCAAAAAAGTGCCACCAATTTATCAGGCTTCTACGTTTTTCTCGTTGCGCCATTTTTGCGATCCTCTCGACCAAAGAGTCGAAACCAGTGGGAGGGTAAAACGTCAAAAACTTCGCGATCACGTGCACCGAGACGTGACGCCGCGCACGATATACGACAAGAGTCCTTTTTGAATGCGTAACGAGGACGCTTCGGAATTGCGTTGTTCGGCCGAGACGCATTGAATGTTTTGTGCTCGTTAAGTCGGGACCGTTGTCATCCACGATAACCGGCGAAACGCGAATTAGTCCGACGGCTATTCCAACGCGGCGAAATACCTTCGATATTTGTTAACAAGAGGTTTCCGTCCGGCGAGGAGGGATGGTTTCGTTGTATTTGTTCTCGACTATTTACTGTTCCCAGCCTTGGCTCTTCGTCGAGAAGGCGATAGAGCATCATCGTGGCTCGGTTGAACGATTTTTGGATATGTCACGAGAGTACAATTCAGCGCAAGAGTTAATTGAGCATTTTTATATGGATACATCTGTGCTCTTGACTTTTGTCTAGTACCTGCAATTGGATTCGTTTTTTGTTGCAGGATTCAGATCTTCTTTCATTGTAGCATCGCCATTTGAAGAATTTTCTAACGTGGATAAATTTTAATTAGTATTTAAACTTAGAACTACAGCTCTCTATATTTTGCTGTAAATAACATTGTAGTGTTGCGGGCGACCCAGAATAATAATTAAAATATTATTTATTATTTTTATAATATAAAAAAAGAAAACAAAAATTCAATGCAAATAAAAAGGAAAATTTTGTGTTTTAGTATTTATTTACACGTTTGCAGACAAATTAAAAATTTTGTGCGGTCGCTGCAACCACTGGGGGTCGTTTTAGGGATAAGATTCTAGTGTATAAGCCTACATATTGGCAGAATAAACGTCCAAACAATGAACATTCAGAACGGTATTATATTTCTGAAAGATCCTAAAAAATAGTTGTAGAATTTATAGTAAACGAGCACTTGGATACCATGTAATTAATTCAAGGATTAGTAAGAAAGTTTCTAAAATACACACATAAAAATTAACCCCCTTCCTTTACGGTAACAAGTCAGTCGACTTTTATAAATCGATGTTTTTAACTATCTGTTTCCAAAATTCAAACAATAAATTAAATCTACACATGCAGTCGATATAAATTTTCTTGTCATGTTCGTAAATTATGTAAATAATTACAGTATACATATATAAAAGGAGGCGGTATCTGCTGTATGACAAACGGTGATAATGAGAACATATATTTAGGCTTGCATTAATAATATTTTAAGATGAGAGCAGTTAGGTACCCCGGGGTGTAATTAACACTTTACAGGTCGCGCGGTTTTATGAGAAAACTTCATGGTGAGCCACCGTTTTATCCTGGATTAAACTGCTATTTTACAAATAAACGAAATTATAATCAAATCATAATTTGCAAATCAACAATCAATTGTCAGGTAAACTTCACAAATATCGAAATTTTAGGTTCATTAATATATTATCAAGGTAAGTTGCGATTTCGCACTCGCTTAACCTTTTAAGCACGACGCGCCACTATAGTGGCTTCCGCGGATATCATCTTTTAGAACGACATGCCACTATAGTGGCTTTTGCGGATGTCATCTCTCTGGACGACGCGCCACTATAGTGGCTTCCGCGGATATCATCTTTTAGAACGACATGCCACTATAGTGGCTTTTGCGGATGTCATCTCTCTGGACGACGCGCCACTATAGTGGCTTCCGCGGATATCATCTTTTAGAACGACATGCCACTATAGTGGCTTTTGCGGATGTCATCTCTCTGGACGACGCGCCACTATAGTGGCTTCCGCGGATATCATCTTTTAGAACGACATGCCACTATAGTGGCTTTTGCGGATGTCATCTCTCTGGACGACGCGCCACTATAGTGGCTTCCGCGGATATCATCTTTTAGAACGACATGCCACTATAGTGGCTTTTGCGGATGTCATCTCTCTGGACGACGCGCCACTATAGTGGCTTCCGCGGATATCATCTTTTAGAACGACATGCCACTATAGTGGCTTTTGCGGATGTCATCTCTCTGGACGACGCGCCACTATAGTGGCTTCCGCGGATATCATCTTTTAGAACGACATGCCACTATAGTGGCTTTTGCGGATGTCATCTCTCTGGACGACGCGCCACTATAGTGGCTTCCGCGGATATCATCTTTTAGAACGACATGCCACTATAGTGGCTTTTGCGGATGTCATCTCTCTGGACGACGCGCCACTATAGTGGCTTCCGCGGATATCATCTTTTAGAACGACATGCCACTATAGTGGCTTTTGCGGATGTCATCTCTCTGGACGACGCGCCACTATAGTGGCTTCCGCGGATATCATCTTTTAGAACGACATGCCACTATAGTGGCTTTTGCGGATGTCATCTCTCTGGACGACGCGCCACTATAGTGGCTTCCGCGGATATCATCTTTTAGAACGACATGCCACTATAGTGGCTTTTGCGGATGTCATCTCTCTGGACGACGCGCCACTATAGTGGCTTCCGCGGATATCATCTTTTAGAACGACATGCCACTATAGTGGCTTTTGCGGATGTCATCTCTCTGGACGACGCGCCACTATAGTGGCTTCCGCGGATATCATCTTTTAGAACGACATGCCACTATAGTGGCTTTTGCGGATGTCATCTCTCTGGACGACGCGCCACTATAGTGGCTTCCGCGGATATCATCTTTTAGAACGACATGCCACTATAGTGGCTTTTGCGGATGTCATCTCTCTGGACGACGCGCCACTATAGTGGCTTCCGCGGATATCATCTTTTAGAACGACATGCCACTATAGTGGCTTTTGCGGATGTCATCTCTCTGGACGACGCGCCACTATAGTGGCTTCCGCGGATATCATCTTTTAGAACGACATGCCACTATAGTGGCTTTTGCGGATGTCATCTCTCTGGACGACGCGCCACTATAGTGGCTTCCGCGGATATCATCTTTTAGAACGACATGCCACTATAGTGGCTTTTGCGGATGTCATCTCTCTGGACGACGCGCCACTATAGAGATGTGTATAAGAGACAGGAGAAATAGCCTCGCACAGAATTCAGCCGTACCTAAAAGGTTAAAGTCAAATCGAAAGTAACTAGTACATAGTTTGTGTCATCGGTACTGGTACCGACGCGTGATCAGTGTATTCAGGAAAAATTGCTACGCAAGGAGTGGGCCGGCGACGCATGTGGAGGGAATCCCTCACAGCGGCGCGGCGCGTCTACCGAGTAAATTATAATTCTGAATTACGATGGCGATGCGACGCGACGCAGAGCTGCAGGGACAATACAGTACAATAGGTGCCACCCTATAGACGTGTCACGCCGTGATGTGGGACTCTCGCGCATGCGTCATCTGCCCCCACTCTATGCGTAGCGACTTTTCCTGAATACACTGCGCATGATACACATATTGTACCAACGGCCGTTAACGTCAGTTTGTGCCATGGCACAACTGTTGTGTCAGCGGTCGCTAAAGTGTTAACGTGGAAAATGCATGGTAGCAGCATAAGAGATTATCCCAAAGGACAACACCCAGCTTGACCTCGACAATTGTGATGAAACTTGGCAACCATATATGTTGGACTTGTATATCTTTTTATAGCTTATTCATTTTCATATTTCAGCCCTTATGTTCATAACCACATGTAGTTCATTACACTGCGGATTGCAAAATAAAAATTTATGTATCAAGATGCAGAAGTTACATGGACATTTATTCTTCCTTCTAGTAATTTTAGTAAGATGAAAGTAATTTAACAGTATTTTTGAATCCTGTTTTTTTTACATTTGATCATTTACTACATTTTAATTATAAATACATAAAATCCGCAGACTAGTAATTATTCTGTTTCGCTCTATGTTTTCTTTTCTGTTTTACTCTATAATTTGTGTGTAAGTAACTTTAAAACCATGGCTTGATTTAATAGCTTGGATATTAAACGAATTCATTAAATCAAAGATTGGATAGTCAAACTGATTTTGTAATATTTCTACAGTATAAACAATTATTTTTAAAAATTACGTTACACAGGTACCCAATTTAACCCTTTACACTCGAGTGGTGACTCTGAGGCACCACTAAAATTGTTATATCACGTTCCAAGATAATTTTTATATCAACAAAGATTAGATTTGAAAAATTGTTGAAAGTGTAACTGTTGTACGAGTCACCATAAAACTCAATTTCATATGCATAAAATGCACTTCGTCGTATAAAATGGAAATACTGTAAGTCAGAAAAATTATTTTTGATTTACAGTTAAATGGCTCCGAGTGCATAGGGTTAAAGGTTAAGATGTAAATATGACTCCTGAACTTGGCAATGAAAAGTCTATCTTATGGAATCTCTTCGAACCTTTTGCATAAATACGCTGTAAACAATATAGATGCAGTATTTTATAATAAACCCGTAAGTATATTAAGTATATTTTAATAAAGTTTTTTCTCCCGCAGTATCAGTATTTACTATTTACGCCTATAACTTCTCGTTTGAAAACATATCGACCGTTTGCCTTAAAACGCCAGACACGTACGACGTTTCGCTCTTATTGAACCGCTCGTACTTATTGCAATTTCACTTACCGCCTCTCGGCGTCGGGAAGATGTTGAATGTGGAGTCTCGGACCCAGGACGTGACAGCCACGTATTCCTTAACGAACGTCGGTATTTCGCACCTGATAACTCCGGTATTTCCAGCCATGACGAAAGCATCTCGCACTATGACTTCGTACTTCTGCCGCACCACTGTAAAGAGAGTTACGATCACTTCGCTGCCAGAGGAACAACAATGGCGTCAGCGTTCATGACAGTTTCGTTGCTCGCGAAGAATGGAGGACGAAGATGAAGAAAATCGTGGATGAAGGAGGCCATAGCATCGTGAAATGAAAACGTCAAGCTCGCGAATATGACGAAAGGATCAGAAAAGAATCTTCTCGATTCCAATGCATCGTCAACACGATTTCATCATCCTGAATTATTGACACTTCCGACCAAACGTACTGTCTACTATCTGTTGCGTACTGAAACACTTTCTCTAGAAATGTTCATGATTGGATTTAAACGTAAAACGTTATTATTATTTTTATTACCTCGAATGCTAGATCGTAAGTATCAATATTGTATTTTGATCTTGGTACAGACTTGACATGACAGCAGATCGGTCGCAATTTACACTGTGAACAACGAATTTTTTTTTGTCAGCATGCATTCCTTAACGTTAAGATTCGACATCGTTTAAAAGGCGATCACTTTTTAAAAGTTGGACCAAATGATTTGAAATTTTCTGAGATATTAAATTGTTCGACTAACTAGTTTATTAGACAATGAATAAAACAGTTTTTTTTTAGTTGGAATGGCATAAAAAGCAAAGATATCATGTATTTACAAAATTGTTCATACTTTGAAATCGCAGTTTTCACTACTTTCAATCAGTAACTGTGAGAAATTTGGAGATTTTTTTCATTTTTGCCGAGATCTATAAATCAGATCGATTGAATTTTCGTTCTGAGTTCTGATTAAATAGATGAAACAACGTAATCTTTTTATTATAATTTTATCATTCCAACCAGTTGCAATTGAGCCATTTATTTTGAAAGTGGCATAAGTCACTTTTTCAAAAAAATCGAGTTAATGGTAACACTAATTACAATTGAACGGTATCATTTCATTAAAAAAAAAAAAGTGACTTATGCCACTTTCAAAATAAACGGCTCATTTATCAAATAACACGTTAAATTTTGTTATTCTTTCATTTTGTAAACAAAATTTTTTGATTAAAAGAAATGTAATACCTATTATTCGGTAAATATAAAGTTAATTATGCCCGAAATAAAATCAAAGACACAGCTATTTTTCGCCCCACAGTAACCGGCTCCATTACCCTAATGTCGATGTTAAATTTTCAAGATTTAATGTCTCCTCTCTTTCTCACGCTGTTTGCCCCGAAGCATTCTAACAATTATTGTTGGGACTGTGTCATCNCGTAAATTATATTATACTGATGTGGCGGCTACCTCCAGACCCGCCAACAGATGGCTATAAAATATTTTATAAACTAACTTTAGATGAAAAAGATGAATTTCTAACATTGGATTTGTCACCAAAAAGAGGAAGACCTAGGCGTTATTCACAAATAGAAATGGATCCGTTATACGCTGGATCTCGTCCTGTTTCTTCAGCAAAATACAAAGACATGATGGACTTGCTTAATTATATACCCCCAATATACCACAGTTATTTTAAAAATTTGAAACAAAACACGATTTCCGAGGACTTAATCACTCCTATTGATGACGAAAATTAAATTGAACTGATGTATTTTCATATAAATTACTTATACTTGTATTTTATGAATATTAAAATAAAAAATACTTAAATCAAACCTTTATATTAAATATGTTCATGGTATAAATTATTATTATATATGTTATTTATTCAACAATTTTAGTAAATCACTGTCCTTTCAAAACATCACTTCAGTAAAATACGTCGGACAAAATTAATATATGTCTAAACTATTTATTTTGAAAGTGGCTTACCGTAATGAAAAGTGGTGATTTTTGAATGTTTATATGAAATTATTTATATTGAGAAAAATGTCAGTATCCTGAGATAACAAATACAAGTAAATCTTCTCGAAAGTTAGCATCCATATTTTTAAACGTGTTAAAACGCAAACCCTTAAATATATCGACTTAAAAACAAAGTGACTTATGCCACTTTCAAAATAAACGGCTCAATTGGGAAAGTGTCAGGATTCTACCGTGGCCCACTGTATGTTCAAATAGTAAAAATATTGAATCGTATTACGTACGTTCGTTATAGTTACTTGCGATATGATTTGTCGGGCGCCAAGAGTTTTCTTGGATGAATGTAAACGTAAATCAATGCTTACGGACGTCAACATAAGAAACAAATGAAAACATTTTTATAGGTGCCAACAGTAATGAAAGAATTAATGATGATAGGAATAAAGATGATGATAATAATCTATAGTAGTCTTATAAATCATTAAATAATTATTAACACATTGGTCACACGGTAATGCTCATAAAAGTCACATAAAATTAGGAAAACTTATTTCACGATGTAAGAATAGGGGGAAGACAAGATTTACTTTAGAAAGTACTTCTATTATCTTTTGGAACCTTCTCTGGATTCTAATCGGCTTTGATTTATTTAACAGCCTCTAATAAAATTTGAGTTCCAAATTAGACAGAAGGATCCAAAAATTCAACGATGCATTCGTCTTTCGTCCACTAACAAATCAACAATTTATTATTCTTCTAGCAAATGCGTTTAGCGGAACTATAGGAAGGAATATTTTAGTCTTTCCTGAAATAAATAGCCAGCCATAAAATCTCATAGACTTCATCGAGTGTCTATCCTTGCTCCATTCAAACGATTTAATCACAGCTATTACCTCTAAAGGTGATGTTACAGCCTAATAATTTTTGATCGCATTGTTCGTACTTTCAACCTGATGTCATCACCGTCATCTCGTGACGTTATAAAGACTGATCCGCGGACAAGGGGGGACATTATCGTCACCAGTGTAAGACTTGCGTATCGGACCACAAATTCTCCGCCGACCGCAATATTCTCAATTAATAGTTTCTTTACGGCGACCTCACATTCCCGTCGCGTCGGTTAATCAATATCCGTAAAACGCGCAGCTCGACAACGGCGATTATTTACCGATTTTAATGGCCTCGAAATTACTAACACTAACCTATTCCTTACGTGACTATACAGGATGTCCTCGAAATAAGCTGATACTTTAACTTGTTTCGTGGCATGAAAATTTCCGGATTAATTCCACCTATTCTATGAAACTGGCGCACTGTGAAGCGCCAAAATGTACAGAAAAAAGTTAATTATAAGGAAAGGTGCATAGGCCTGGCGCTGACTTTTTGATGAGATTTTCCGCGTACAGTGGTAGAATTATTCAAACTGACTCTAACGGTACCTAATTTTGAATACAGATTTTTGAGATATTTAATATTAAAGTTGTTAGTAACAAAACCAATCAGATAAACTGGATTTCGGACCTTGGCACCGTGTGGCGTGGAAGGGGGATGGGAGGAATTTCAGAGAATTGTTCACAAGTGAATCGTTAGATTCAGTTTTACAAGCTCTAACTGTGTGCAAAATCTCATGAAAAAGTCAGCGTCTAACCCGGGAACCTGTTCTTTTTAAGATGATATAACCCTGGAAACATATTTCAGGATCATTGAAACCGGCGAGATCGTCCGCTGTGTAAATAAATCCGTCGACAACTTATCGCTGCAGGATTTCGTTCGTAAAACCCGTCGTCGGACCACTTAGACTCGATAACATATACTAGACACCTTCTATTATAAGCTCGTTATTCCGCCCGCGAACAACGCCGCTTTTCAGACCGTCTGGCCGTCGTGCTTTTAGTAATTAGAGCCCCTCGCGGCCCCGTTCCTCAGCCAGGCGAACCCTGAATCCGGCTCCTCGGCCCCCAGCCGCGTAATCCACCTTTCCTCGCGTAATCCAAAGCCGCGATTCTTTTTCGGAGTCGCGCAGGAATTCCCCCGGCTCACTAGCCGTTAAATGCGATAAGTGATTCTTGGCAGAACGGCGGAGAGGGAGGATCGTTATAGCGCTCGCTTCGAGCCCGAAAATATCCCGCTCGTGACCGTTTGTCGCGGTTGCCCGCTAAAAGAAGATTTCCCATGCTGTTTCGCTTCCAGGAACTGGAGCGGAGACGCGAATTCGGATCAACGGTGTGGTCTGCCAATTTTCTCCTGTCGCGAATCTTTAACGTTTATCTGCTGTCCCGCCGGATCCGGATAAAAGTCTGATTTCGTGGTTGAAATTGATCTTGATGCATGTACCATTATTGATGGATATGTGGAAACATTAATACGCTACAGAATGCTGAAACCGTTAGACGAATGATTTTATCTTAGATTTCGCGTTTTATGATCGATGAAGTAGGCGTATTTTTCGGAGAAGTTGTGCGACGAATTATCGTTTGTGCCTTGTTCCTTTCCAATCTCATCGCGTAGGGTTAAAGCAAATACTGCGATATTTAATAAAAGTAATAAAGCTTAACATCTTACAGCGTGTAATCTTCTAAAAATTAATCTCACAATTTTTTATATGTTTTATATTCATAACTTATGATATATGATATTTATAATTTATGACATACGAGTAACAGTATTCGCAGTTTTAATTTATTCATTGACTTTAGATATTCGAAAGCTTATGAAAACGTTGAGATTTATGAAATACTCGTAATGGCAGCTGTGAATGCTGATTCGAAAGATATTTATATTTTGGTAATTAATAATGAAGTATTCATTTTAGCCTTATTTTTAGATAAAATAACCATTATTTTGATAAAAAAATCGACGTACACTGTCTCTATCATCTATCCTCAAATGTAATTTACTAACACAGTACTTGGCGCATAGTTTTTAACTATGTGTGTACATTACTGCGGAGTTTTACTGAATTGCGTACCTTAACCTATACAGTGAAGTTCTCGATAAGCCGAACACGCTTCATCGTAGAATACCTATATCTGATTTGTAAAGTGTTACAGTAAGAATATCTTGTTGTAGCTGTGTATGTACATTTAAAAGAAAATGGTAATGGATACATAACCGCAGTAATATATGCACACGTATGGTTTCTATACATTACGCTTTTTAATGAAAATTGTGCTTTCAGAGATTTAATACTTTGAGAAAAGTAAATATTCAAATTAA